GCAACGCTGTGGGGAGAAAGGAATCCTTCTCCACTTTTGGTGGAATTGCAAATTGGTACAACCAATGTGGAAATCAGTATGGAGATTGCTCAAAAAACTAAAACTCAATGTTCCAGTTGTCCCAGCTATTCCCCATCTTAGTACTTCCTGAAAGAGTTAGAAGCACCATACCACAGTGATATATGCATATCCATGTTTATAGTAGCACAATTTGTAATAAGTACATCTTGAAAACAGCCCAGATGCCCATTACCTGATGAATGAATAAAGAATATGTGGGGTTTTTATAGAATACAGTACTACTCTACCATAAAGAAAGATAAACTGGAGATATTTTTAGGTAAATGGATGTACCTTGGCATCATAATTTTAAGTGAAATAAATCAGACTTACATGTTTTTACAACACATTGTTACTCTTGTGTGAGAAACTGAAAGGGTAAATAAGAACCAAAATGTATTATAGATAGTGGGAAGTAAGAAGAAAATATTCAAATGGGAAGGGGAACAAGGTAGGGGGGTAGGGGAAAGGAAAGAAGAGAAAAGCACACACAATAAAAGAGAATAGAAAAACAAAAATGGAAACAAAGCATTTGAAAATAAGGAGAGCAAAAAAGGTTGGAGGAAGGGGATGCACAGGTACAAATTCCCTGTGATGATTATTATGTATATCAAAAGAGTACCAATTAAATTAATTTTAAAAAAAGAAATCCATGAGCAAAAACTTCAGTGGAACTGCTAATAGGGTAGGAAATCCTAAACTGTGACTGATGAACTGATAACTCAAAAGGTACCACAATCATAATGAAGCTGCAATGGTTTTTTGAGTTTTACCTACAGGAGCTCAACCAGCTTCTCATAGTTAAAGATGAGAGAAATATCTTCTTTTATTATTAGCAGGGGGAGGGGCAAAGTAGCCATTATGAAATATGCCAGTGCATTCTGTTCTTAACAAGGCTTACCCTCAGGAGAATTTTTTTTTTTGAGACAGGGTCTCGCTATGTAGTTCAGGCTTGCCTTGAACTCACTGTGTAGCCCAGGCTGGCCTTGAACTTATGGTGATCATCCTCCCTCAGCCTCCTGAGTGATTATAGGCATGTACCACCATGCCTGACTCTCAAGAGAAATTATTTAACTAGAGCCTAACCTACTGGATTTTTTTCCAGATCATAACTATCCTAGGTGAAGGGAATTATTCAACTCTAGCCTGCTCAAACCTTCCACATGAGAGAAGGAAATACCTACCTCTAGCCTTCTCTGGCTATTTTATATGACGTTAAAGTGGGAAGAAAACTGAGGGGTACTAGTGAAATCCACAGTCCACAGGTCCACTAATCATAGGACTAGAGAACACTTCCCTCCCCCCTACACCTTAGTGCCACACCAGAGAAGAGTACTATTCTCAGAACATCCATACAAGGCATGTGACATTCAAATACCTGTATACCACAGCTCCTCTTAGCCTATGCATCATGTCAGACATCCAACAACAACAACAACAACAACAACAACAAATGATAAGACATGCTAAAAGGTGAAACACACAGTTTGAAAAGACAGAGAAAGCCACCAGAATTAGACTCAGGATGCTGGAATTATCACATCATGAATTTAGAACAACTCTGACTGATACACTAAGGGTTTTAATGAAGTAGACAGCACCCAAAAATAAATGAGTAATAAAAATAGAAAAGATGGAAATGCTAAGAAAGAATAAAAACTGCTAGATATTAAAACAGAGGTAACAATATCATCTTATTTAACCACATATTATTTATTAAGAATCAAATGAGACAATGAATTTATAGAAATGAAAAAAACATTCTAAAGCATAATGAAAACCAAAGGAACTTACCTCGTAAAGAGGATGATGATCATCACCATAATTAATGATCAGAGGGAATCTGTAGCTTCAAAATATGCCTGTTACTGATGTGTGACATTCTTTATACTAGTTTTTGGAACGAGAAGTTTGAGACTTAAAATCTCATAAAATTAGCAATTCTGTATTCCTGAATCTAGGATTACATTATAGCTACTGGGAACCATGACATGTGGAGTTATGTCCCTTGCCTTCCTAACCAGGCAGACCTCACACCAAAAACTCAAACATGCAGTTCTGGTTTGGATTTGGAAGTCAAGCAAGCACCATTCTTCTTGAGATTTTGAACCTTAAGGCTATAGGAGAAGCTTCCATAAGGCAGCTTCACTCTCCTTCCCACTGCGACTTTCCATATATCAGTCTGAATAGATGCACTTTGGAAAGAAAGGTTTTTGCAAACTATCAAAGGATAATAGTTCTTCAGACAAACAAACAAACAAAAAACCCTCAATCTTCCTATGTTTCTTTTTAGATAAGTCAGGATGAGATTTTTGATCCCTGGATAAGCAGGGTCAGTGCCTCCTTGTAAGCCTGAAGCAGCCATAAGTAGACAGACTTTTGATCGCCAGCATCTCTTGAGAATAAGGAATCACCTGGGCATGGTGTTGCACACCTATAATCCAAGCCCTCTGGGAAGTTAAGGCAGGAGAATTACAAGTTTGAGCCCAGCTTGAGGCACTTAGTGACTTAGCAAAATCTTTCAAAGTAATAAAAGGATGGGAAGGGGTGTTAACTCAGTGCAAAAGTCCTGGGTTCAATACCCAATACTGGGTGGGGGGAGCATAAGGGATCAAAGTCTCAGGGGGATAGGAAATGAGGTAAGATAAAAGAAATAAAGATAAAAAAGAGACAAGGAAAGTGATAATTTTAAAGTTATGTTTTTAGGAAAAACTGCACTTTCGGGACACAAACATACGAGGTTACAATGTCTTTTTCCATTCTGGGGAACACACTCCAAAAAAGTGTCTTAAAAATACAATAAGCCTATAAATTGAGCCTGTGCTTTCCTCTCAGACTTCCATCTTCAAGGAAGCAGCACTATTAAGTAGGTAGCATATCTCTAAACATCAAACACATACAAATGGTTCACATTCTAACCTACCCCAACAAATAGGTGGCCTGTTAGATAGTAAGAATATAAATCCTAGGTCATCCATCTTGAGAACATCTCAAAATCACAGAAAAACTCCCAGTCCTGACTGTAATGCAACTCTCTCTTGAGATCCTGCACTCTATTCTATGTGTAATTCTTTAATTCTAATAAATCTTTCTAATGTCTCTCACGGATGCATCCTGTAATTCTCTTCTGTGATGTATATCAGTGAACCTACATCCTATTCCATGAGTAGGAGAGATGACATGGCTGTCTCCTCTTCACAGGACATCCTTGGGCCCTGAACATTTGTTAAAGGGTTACCACATACCATGTATTTTACTAATTTAATTTTCAGAACAGTCATTCAGGGCAAGTATTATTTTCTTCTCTATTTTACATAAAAGGAAACAGACTTGGAGATATGACTAACTTGCACAAAGTTCCACAAATGGTAAATAAAAAGTAGAATCCATACTTAAGCCCAATATATTCTATCCACTTTTCTACTACATCTGTCAGCCTTCTGGGTTGAGTTGGTTTGGTCTCTAAGCTAGCTGGAGCACACTCCCCACAGAGGCTTTCCAGAAGGGCTTTTTTTCCTCTTACCACAGTTCCAACCAATCAGGGCTCTGTGAATGTCCAAAGGCAAAAAGGGGGAGAGGAGTCCAAGATTCATACCTAGTTCTAGAGCTATTTGATAGTCTTTCACATTGCTATTAATGTGGTTTGATCTAGTAAATTACAACATTTTATAAACCCATAGCAGAGCTCCTAGAACACCTGAAATATCTTCTCTATACAGAGAAAAGTACAAACGAACAGGTCTGAGGCATGAATCCATATGTTTTGTTTGTTCTGTTTTGTTCTGGGAGGCTGCCACCCTCTTTCTGCCACCAAACAAGCTTCCAGGGTAACTGTGACAGCACAAAAGCAGCTTTACAAATCACCCTAGGCACTGATGACACCAGAAAAACAACATTCCTTGCTCTAAGACTATTGACAAAGAAACAAGAGGCTAGGGAAAAGAGAAAGAAAAATTCTGTTCTGAAACCGGAGCATAACAGAGCAACCCAGTCAGGGAGGAAAATATTGTAAGTAAGGATTAAACAGCCTTATAAAAGCTGACTGGAAGCTGCATGGAATGACTTGAAAGGGTCATTGGCCCAGCAAAAATGAAAGAGACTGACAAGTCCCTACCAAGCATTAAAGCAGGAACCACAAAGTGGAGGCTGGGAGTAGGGGAAACTGAATTGAATTCAGGAATCTACAGAAATGAGGGCAGTTCTTCTGTTTCCCCCCAACTTATTCTCCCTGTGGACTCAATCCACTATGAAATTTTTATTTCTGCTTTTATTATGGCAATTGGAAAGAATTAGACATTGTCTAGCTGAGTAGAGTCCATTAGGGACAGATAAAGAAGAGGATTAATTTATTGTCACTATTCTAGGAGTATTTCCAGACAAAAGAAACACTATTACGAGACATAGATCTGCCCTGCCCCACACCCTCCAGCTCTGCAGCCAGAGTCACTAGTTCAAACCATAGCAGTGCCTTCCCTGCTCAGCTACCTTGCAACCTGCCAGTGTGCAATGAAATGATATGATACTAAGTGTTTAACTACAGGAGCCCCATGTGCATGTTAGGTATTCCAAAAACTAATAATCAGTTCTGTGGGTTCATCCCATCTCTACCAGAGCCAGCACATAGACAAGCTCTTCTATATTAAGGGAACCCCATATTCACTAAGGTTACTTCTTCAGCTAGTCATGACAACAGCAGAGATTCCAAGGAAGTTCTCTGGTTGAATATAGAGGGAGGGATTTGATGTCACTAGATGTGGTAAGCAGCTTTTTTGGCCCAAACTAAAAAGAACAGAACACCTCCAATTTCATGCTTGCGCAAGAAAAAGAAGCCCTAGATGACATTCACTGTGTCCTGATCGTTCTAGAAAAATGGGAAACCTCTTTACATGCACCACTCCCACCCACACATTCATACCTCTTCCTGAAGCTTTTGGACTTACTTTTTGCAAAGAGCTGAGAGATGGTCTTCCTGGTATCCTCAGACCCCTCATACTCCTTCTCCGCAAGCTGTTTATTGGCTGTCTCTAGACGCTCTGTGGAATTTGGAGACAATTAACTGAGCCCTAAAAACAAACTTCCAGGCACATGCTGTTTGCTCTCTAATACTGACTTTCAGCAAAACAAGACTTCTTCTTCTTGTTAAACAGGAATGGGTGACATAGACACAAGTTTGCAAATGGGAATTCCAAAGAAAAACTAGACCATGGCAGGGAAGAAGGGGGTAGGCACCTAACACTTTCACTCCTCACTGCCAAAGTCCAAGTGAAGAATTCTAACTATCAATGAAATAATCTATTCCTGAATTTATAAAGCTTTCATCAACCAGGAAAAAGAACATCACATTTATTATGAAGTCTTTAAAATCATGTAATATCAAAGCTAGAAATAGACCACGGCAACATCTAGTTGAACTCCAATTTTACAGATAAGATTAACTGAAACCCAAAGATAAAAACATAACATCCCCAATTCAATTTGAAGGTGTTGATAGTTTAAAATAGAAATATTTTTCACCATCTTCAATATTGTCAGGTGAAAGTAAAAATGAAAGGAGAGATTGAGCCTTAGAAATAATAGAGGGCACTACTATTTCAGGCTTGCAAAATCCAAAGATATGCCTCTACCAGGCATATAAAGGAAAAAAGTCTACATCAGTCGTCAGGGTGGGTGGGAATCCCAGGAAAGATTCTGCCTCATGAACTGACTAAAAGGCCAGTCAGGCATGTCCCTAAACTTACATTAAATAAGCTTGAGACCCAAATTGTACTCACACACACACACACACACAAAACAAGCCTGGGATAGGCCCTGAAAATTACTGATTCACCAATGAGTTAGACAACCTCAAAGAGCCTGATCCAGTCTTCCTCAGCTCTGTTCCTGTCACCACCTTGCAGCTGTCTGAGAAATAAAAGATAAGCCAATTAGTTCCCTCACCTCTCAGATCCCTGTTGAAGTCGTGCATCCTCCGAATCTCACCCTCCAGCTTGTTCCTCATGGCTTTTTCCAGGGCCTCTCTTTTGGAGGATGACTTTACTAGGTTCTCATATGCTTCTGAGACCCGCTGGATTTCTGTCTCCACCTTAACATAAAAAGGAAAGATGGTGGTTATAGGAGAAAGTTGATGAGGAAGATGGTCTGAAAGCAGATATGCAAAACCCCAGTGATAACTTCTCCCAGGGCTCACACATTAAGACAGCCTAACACTGTCAAAAAAGAAAAGTTTCCAGGGAGACTTCAACTGTAGTTCAGTAAGTAACTCACTGTTTCATGAGATTTCTGATGTTTGTGTATCTACACATATATGTGTGTATAGAGCCATGCACTGTGTGTATGTATAGATATACACACATATATAATTTCTGCCTTCAGAGTAGGTAAGACAGAATACACTTCCAAAAAGAAAATATACTTCATAAACAGGATTATAAATTACCTTAATTTCTGAAAAAAAATTCTTTAGCTTTGAAAACATTAATAATAATATATATATAGTATGTAGATACCTTTATTTCACAGTATCCAAAAGTTTTTCACATGCTTATATCAATTTATGCTGAGACCTGGCTAGGCAAAGACACCCCATTTTAGCAGAGAGAAAAGTTAAGCTGCCTTTCTCAAGAGCAAGTCAGCAGCAGAGACAGTCCTTAAAAACAAGCTTCAGCCTCATGTAGTATAATTTAATTCAATTTAACAAATATTTGAAGGACCAAACAGTTACAAGAGTTGGTTAAAATACTATGAGGTGTTTATATATGAATGAGAACACTGTCACTGCCCTCAAGGAGCTTTCAAACTAATCAAGTTAAAAAATACAGGGCAAGATACAGCTTTAAGAAAAGGAATAGTGGTTCAACATCACTGGTCATTCGAGAGATACAAATGAAAACAACGCTGAGATTCCTCTTTACTCCAGAAAGAATGGCTGCTATCATGAAATCAACCAATAACAAATGCTGGTGGGGTTGTGGGGAAAGAGGAACCCTGCTCCACTGCTGGTGGGAGTGTAGACTGGTGCAACCACTATGGAAATCAGTATGGAGATACCTCAAAGAACTAGGACTGGAAGTCCCATTTGTCCCCACTATTCCACTGCTAGGGATCTTCGCCAAAGAATTAAAAGAATCATACCACAGTGATATATGTGCACCCATGTTCACAGCACCACAGTTTGTGATAGCTAAAACCTGGAAACAGCCCAAATGCCCATCAACTAGAGACCGGATAAAGAACATGTGGTTTTTTTATAAAATGGAGTACTACTCAGCCATAAAAAAGGAGAAATTAGAGACATTTATAGCTAAGTGGATGCACATTGAGGCAATACTCTTAAGTGAAATAAATAGGCCACACATGTAAATACCGAATAGTTTCTCTGGTGTGAGAAACTGAAAGTGTAAATAAGGACTAAATGTATAATAGGTATGTGAAATAGGAAGAAAAGGGGCAAAGGGGAAGGAAGTGGGAGGGCTAAGGGAAAGGATAGAAGGGAATGGGATTAATATGAGAAAATGGAAAAATAGGAACAAAGTCTTTGTAAATAGGGAGGACTGGAGGGGTTGAAGGGAGGGCTGGGCAAGGGTGAAAAATAAGAACCAAGAGATTCTATGTAAAGGTGCAAATTTCCAATGATGAATGTCATTATATTGTATACCTAAAATGTACCAATGATTAGAATGAATAATCGATAATGTAAAATAGGAAGAAAAGGTCCAAAGGGGTAGGGGTAGTGGGAGGGGCAGGGGAAAGGAAAGAAGGGAAAGGAAAAATGATGAGAAATGGAAATAAAGTCTTTGTAAATAGGGAAGGGTGGAGGGGGTGAAGGGAGGGCTAGGAATGGGGAAAAAATAAGAACCAAGATGCATTACGTAAAGGTACAATTCCCAGTGAGAAATGTAATTGTGTTGTAGACCTACAATGTACCAATAAAAGAATTTAATAAAGTGCAAAAATAAAAAAGAAAAGGAAGCTGTTATTCCTAGTGGGGGAGGGGAGGGAGAAGAACAACTTCAGGGAGGAGGTGGCATTTGGAGTCAGATTCTGAAACCTGTGTCAGATTTCAATGGGTAGAGGTGAGGGGAAGGGTATTCTATTCTGAGTGAGCAAAGGCATTCCCAGAATGACCAGTAGTCTCATTTGGCTGGACATCATGGGGTACACAGAGGGAAGTTGGAGAGATATGGCTGCAAAGATAGATTGGAATCATCATAAAAGGGTTTTAATGCCAGGCATTTGGACTTTATCCCACAGTCAGTGGGAAACCAGTACAGATTTTAAACAGAAATACATGATTAGAGTTGTGTTTTATGACACTGATGCAAATCTCATAAAATGGAAAAAAAAACAAACAAAAAAAAGCCAAAGACAAAGGATCTTATCCCAAATCCACTAGAATCAGGAAGAAAACAAGAAAGTGGACTCCAGAGTCTTTCTGTAATGAGTATAGCTTCATTGCACATGTAATAACCATGGAGATTATTTGCATATAATTTGTATAATACAAATAAACCCCATGGCCTGCAGCCATTCTGCAGTCCTTCTCAGTTTTCCACTATCCTCCTTAACAAAGCTCAGGGTACTTTGTTAGGCGAAACATCAGGGCCCCAGTGGGAAATTGGAGAGAAAGGTAGGGTTACCAGACAACTCAGATTGAACCTGCCTCCATCTCTAAAATCCTGCCTGAGACAGGACTGCCTAAAAACAAAGAGGCTTATACCACTGAAAAGAGCAGACTTGAAAGTGTTTTTCTCCTTACAGATGGCACCAAGATAGCAGCACAGAAGGTGAAAACTGGTGAATGGCATTTAGAGACAAGATCTGCAAAGCCTGTGCCTAATGAAGCTTTTCTCATGAAATTCAAGTGCTAGGCAGAGAAAGTAAACATTTTCATTTGAAACAGCAGGGCTGGTGTTGGTCAGCTCTGGGCAGCCTTGAAGGAGTGATTCTTCCTAGTTCCTCACAGAATGCCACACCTGGAAGGCAGGCCCTTTACTCAAGGTGTTCAGACTGCTGTTGGAAGATCTTCTATTAATCCTTCCCTTGGTCCCTGTGGAGATACTGTACCCTTCAAAGGGGCAAGTCACACATCTGCCAGGAGAGCCTCTTCCAGGAAAGAACTCACAGCAGGGCATGTTGTGGTTTGGATCTGGAGTGTCTCCCCAAAGTTCCATGTGCTTGGAGGCAGGGCTCCAGGAAGGTGACTGGATTATAGAGTCACTACAGTTAAAAAGCTGTTAGGAGGTGGGACCTGGTTAGTGATGGGTCACTGGGGCCTGATACAGAAGGGGTAATCTCCCTCCTGGTCTCTTCTCTTTTCTTTCTGCTTCCTGGCTACCATGACATGAGCCGCTTGACTGAAACCTAGAGGCAAAATAACCTCTCCTCCTTTGAGTTGTGGATATTGGGTATTATGTCTTAGGGACAAGAAAGTGACTAAGATGGGGCAAAGCCACTGACTTGCTTTAGGTGATGGCAGGGACAGGAGAGAGGGAGGGTGTTGGTTGGTTTCCAGACCTACTCTGTCTCCTTATTATACTCATGTGCTTCAGGGGAATTTTTCCAGAATCATCTAGTATCTACCTTATTCTCCCCATTTTCCTTTCCCTCTTCCCCCTTATCTGTCTCTGTCCTCCACCTTGATATTGGTTTGACCTCTACTTCTGACACTCAGACTGTGCCAATTACACTTATCTGAACCATCTTTCCACATCCCAGGGAACAAGTAACAACAACAAACAGCAACAAAAAATACTATTCTGCTTTTCTTGTCAACACCCCACCACAAACATACCCAAATCACCAGGAGTTCTCTGGCAAAAAGGTCCTATAGAAGATTTGCATTCATCTTTCAGTGACTGCATCAAAGATGGGCCAGGGGCCACTCTGAATTAAAGAGTTTGCAGAAGGACTTCAACTGTTAACCTAATCAGCCAAACTGGATTTCTGGTGTACAGACAGAATTAATTAATTGCATCAATGTGATGTGGGGCATAGTTAGCATGAAAGGAGGCAGAGAATGGGGTGAATCCAGAGAGAAAGAGCTCTTATTCCACTTCAACAGCCCCCATCCAGATTTGGGGAAATTGGGATTGGGGAAGTTTTTTTGCTACATGAAAATAATTAGGCAAGAATAAACCCCCTCTCCCTTAGGATTGAGATCTGGTGCTTGCAAATTCTTAGTCTCATTTGGGCCCCTGAAATTTCCACTCCTAGTGTCTCCTGAGGACAGCTACTAAACAAGGCAACTGCCCCTCCCTCGCACACCTTCAGCCTCACCTCCCTGAAGAGTGCACAGTGTAAGGATATCATGCCACACAAGCTCCACTGACAAAAGCTGCAAAGTGGCTGCCAAAGGCATAGCCTTATTCACCAAACAGCCACTGGAGGCCAAGAGCTAAGTAAGGTTCCTAGTTTGGGGCATTCAAGAGCTAAAATCTCAGCTGCAGAAGAGGGAGAGGCCCAAGGAAGAATGTGCACTGGGACACACACTTCTTTTTCTACTTCCTCAGCCCCGGGCTGTCACCTGTTACACAGCTGTGATGCTAAGCTCCCCCCCCCCCACCGCCCCATACACCAGAGAAAGAGAGCAGATGTTGAATCTGAGTTGCAGGAAAGGACCAAAGCAAAAAGGGGGAAGGGGGAAAGTGTTGAACAAGTTACTAGGAGAACTCCCAGTAGGAAGAGAACTCTCAGCCTTTCCCAGAACAAAGCAGGGCAGGCTCTAACTGCAGCTGATGAGATTTTTCTAGGAACTATGAACTATGGTTTTATATTTCAGCTTCAAATTCATATTGGGGAAAACATAATCAAGACAAAAAGCCTTCAAATGCTGGCAGGTTCTTCACTGATACAGGCATCACCAGTATTCTTAACCTTATGAAGTGGTATCCCTGCTCCTTTTGGAATTCTAGAACAATCAATTGTGTTTTCTTAAGAACTATGGTAACCATGCCAGGGATTAGCTCAGTAGTTCCGCTGCCTGCCTCGCAAGTGCAAGGTCCCAAGTTCGATCCCTGGTACCAAAAAAAAAACAAAAAAAACAAAACAAAAAACTATGGTAACCAGAAAACTAATAATTCCTTTTCTCTTAGTATAAACATAAAACTGTGACTTCTCCTAAAGAGACAAGCAGAAGATTTTTCCAAAGTTTTAAGCATATCCAGCCTTCAGACACAAAAGCCCTAAAGACATGCCTATATGTAATACACCCCTTCACAACTGGAAACTTTTATGTGGATATTAAGTCCCACTAGTAAGATTTTAAGGGGGCCCTAAAGTCCTCCAAGAGGCTCACCTTCTGCAGTCTCGCCACCTTCTCATAGCATCCTTCCAACTCCTGACGCAAATTTCGGTTCTCATCTGAGAGGATCTCAACCATCTGCTGGGCTCTGGAGACAATGGCAAAAGGGTCAGCTGCCATTGGCTGGTAAGAAGCAGACTGCTGGGTCCGAGGCATAGCTGAATAGGCTTCTCCTGGCTGCTGCTGCTGTTGCTGCTGACTCAGGCCTGGTTGGGAGAGACGGTAATGATCCCCCTGGTGAGCCTGATTAGGTAGAAAATGCTGCTGGGGCCTAGGCAGGTGGACTGAGTGGTCTCCCTGGTTTGAGACCAAGGGATGCTGGGCAGGAGACAGTCTAGTAGATGGTGGAGACTGCAGCAAGGGCAAGGAACCCCCAGACGTCAAGGAAGAAGTAGGGCTGTGAGGCTGTGAGCTCCTGGCTGACAATGGCAATGAGATGTCCTGCGTTGGCCTGGAAAACATGAAGGGCAGACTCTGGTTAAGTTCTCTCCTGATGTACTGTAGAACAAGAAAGTGACACATGGAGGCTTCTGGTGCCCCCAGGACACCTGCCAAATGAGCAGGCAGAGATAGACTACAAGATCCCTGCAAAGATCTCTGTAGTTCTTTCCTGGCCCAACCTTCCATGACTCTGCCTGATGGACAGAGGTGTGATTCCATGGAGGTTTAAACCAGATGACTTCTAAACCAAATGAAAATCCAAAGGATGTATGGATCTATATTCATTGCTCAAGCCTAAGTATTTCAAGCAATTTTTTAATAAGGTAATTTTCACGTCATTTTCTTAAATGAAACCTAGTGTTAGAAATAACATTATGTATGTGGTCCATCAAACATAAAGACTTCAGATTTAGAATATATGTTTCATTTATCCAGAGAGGGCATGGAAAACAAACAGCTATCACAACTGTCTTTATCTTCCTATCTGCAACTGCCTTTGAGAATTCATATATTCATTTAAAAACATTAAATAGACCAAATATACTAAGGAGGAAAAGGCAGGAGGATTGGGAGTTCAAGAACAGCTTGGCAACTTTCTAAGACCATATCTCAAAATAAAATAAAATAAAATAAAATAAAATAAAATAAAATAAAATAAAATAAAATGGCTGGGCATGTAGAATCCAGTATTCTCTGGGTTCAACTCCCATCACTACCAGAAGAAAACCCACAAAATAATTATTATTCATTGCAGTTACTGATGATTTAATGGTGCCCATTAGTAGTAACAATACCAAAACTTGGAGGAGTTTATGGGCAATAATATTATCCTATTTTTGATGTACTGGATCACAAATATAAGGACTGGAAAGGCATTAAAGAAATTATGTCACCCAACTCTATCACTGTACAAGGAGAAATTAAGGCTCAGAGAAGGGAAGTGGTTTGCTGAATATTAGAGTAAGTTAATGCACTGGTTCCTATGCACTGATATTCAGAACCCTAGCATACTGCTTATAGAAAATTCCAGAAGGAGAACTCTGGTACTTTAATATGGCTCTCCCTTCTTTAGTATTTAATTATGAGGTACACAATACTAAAATCTGGGTATAAATAATTTGTACATGATGCCTATTAGCCAGTAAGGGAAACAGAGTATGTGGAAGGATCACTTTCCACTATCACCACTACCATATCAGGAAGAATATTTGTCAGTGCACACTGAAGACAAAAAGCTTGTTCACCCTCCCCTCAGTCCATGCCCAACTAACCTAATATGCTCCCAAAGCCTGTGGATACTTGTCCTACACTTCACATTTCTCAATGCAGGGAGGGATGATGGCTAAGAATATGGGATTTAGATCCCAACAGGGAGAGTCTGGACACCATTTGTACTACTTAGTAGCTATGCAACCTTTCAAATTACTTAACCTGCAAGAATCTGTTCCTTTCTAGAGGTTGCAAAATGAATTGCAAAATACTGGGGTCTTCACATTTTTAGCTCAATAAGAATTACAGCCTCTTATCTATCTCCCAGTGAGACAGTCTGACCTTGTTATCATGTTACTTATGGGATACCCTTTGTGCTACTTTGCATAAATTTCATGGTGGAACTGGGACAAATCACCAGAAGCAATTAACTTTTAACTGGCATTTAGATGCTAAAGCATATGCCTCTCCCCACATTCCAGTTATCATTATTATCCCTACCAAAGCTCCTCAATATAATGGCTTTTTACAGCTACAAAATCATTCCAAACACTTGTGTTCCCTGTTTAAAGACCAACTAGGTTGTTAAATGAATTGGTCGCTAAATGAGAAATTGTATATAGTATGTACATTATAATATTCACAACAAAGAAATGGTCAAAGGAAATGCCAATTTGATGACTTTGCTTTTATTTGCATAACTCTTATAGTCAGTACTGTAATGTATAACAGAACATAAAACTACAGTACTGTACCTTATAGTAACATCAGCAAAAATTACAGTACTGTATAAATAAAGTATGCCATACAAAAAAAAGACATTGGGACTATATAAACAAGATGCACAGAACTGTACAAAAAATAAAGATGGGTTATTAGTCTGTGCAGAGAGTTTTAAGTCTGAACAGTGCACTTCGGTCTTAAGTCCAAACTGTTGTTAAACAGGTAGGTTGTTGAATGAAAAAAAATCACTACATTAAATTTCAGGATATCCAATAAACTAGATAATCACAAAAGCCTCCAAACTTGTTCAAACTCTGGGTCTATCCCTCAGGCCTATGCACATCTCTGGTGTACACACATTCTTCTAATTTCACATATATGTATCTATATTATTACTGAATATAGAAGTGGGCATACAGACTACTTGGGCACAGAAGAATTGCTTTATACACAATCTTTCTTTCCAAGAGCTCAAAAGACTAACTGCATCAAAAGCCTGGGAACTGTTTATAAACTTATTTGGTAAATAATTCCCATTTTCCATTCTATGAAACTTCAGTTTCCTCATAGGTAAAATGGAGCATGTGCTTTCTCTTCTCCTTGAGTAAAAGCTATTATCCTTTTTATGTGTCCCTAGACTTAAAATATAATGTCTTGGGATTTTATATTTCTTGGACAGAAAAGAGGAGCTTAAATTTCATGTTTTCCAATCCAATCAAGCTTTCAAAATTTAAGGGAAAAAAATCACTACATCAAATTTTATCCTCATTCCCAGGATTTGAAAGCCCAGAGCCTAGGAAGTGTTTTCTTCTAAAGAGTGGGCACCCAGGTCCAAACTGGGCTTCCTCCTCACACCTCCCCTTCACCCTGTCAAGCAAACCAGGCCTTTCTCTAAAACAGGCCAGACCATTGGCCTCCCTCCTAGCCTGGAGACTCAAAGGCCTCTCCAGGCCCCAGACAGTAAGTACACAGTCTCTCAGGAACCTCAGGAAGGAAGAGATTGGAAAGAGGTCTCTGCTGTCAGATAAGCCCAAAATGAAGATAAGCAGAAAAGAGGCAGCTGCCCCTCGGTTCCCCAGACTGGCAAAGGAAACAGATTTCAGTGTATCATGTTGGAAAACCAAGGCAGTCAGTCACTGGCAGGTTTGCAAATAAGCAAAGGCTTGGACAGTCGCAAAAGGAGAGAAAGCCCCTTAGCAAGGGAATTCCATCTGGACTCCAACATCCACCCACCACCAGAAAGCAGGACAGTATTAACACTGAGATAAATTTTCCCCTGAGAAAAAGGAAAGATGGATGGGGGAGAACTATGGGCAATGACAGAGGAAGCAAAAACACACGCAAAATTAAATACTAATAACAACAAGAGTAATAATAATAATAATAAAAGCAGCAGTCATGTGAGCGGCACACTGTCCAGGTCCCTCCACCCCACAGGAGCTGGAATCATTCCTCACTGACACATTAATGGGGAACAAGCAACCCACAGACAATATAATCACATGATCCCATGGAAGACCTGGCATGCCTCCCTGCCACTTCCCTCCCTTCATACTGATCCTTCTAAAGACTACCTGGGCCACTGGTGCTCTGCAGAAAAAGGGACAGCATGACCATTCATATAGGATAGAGGCTACTGACTCAAATCCAGTCCTCCCCAAGGCCAGAAGGGTGGGGAGTGTGCAGGGGGCCTCCCAAAGACAGCTTGTGAGGACACTAAGGGAAAGCCACTCTACCCAGCTGACACAGTATCTTCCATCCTGCCACATCCATGACTGGGAGTCCCTACCCACACACATACACACACACACACACATATAAGCACACATGCACACACCTGCCAATGCATGCACAAGCCCATTCATGCACACTCACATCACAGGAGGTGCCACCAACAGCCTGGAGCCCAGGTTATCCTCACCCCCAGAGCGGTGCCTCTCCCAAGCTCTGGTATGGTGAATCTGTGAAACCTGGAGCTGGCTGTGAATTCTGGATGATTCCTCTTTCACAACCAGCTTTGCTCTGAACTACAGAGTCAGGTCACCCTGAGATTCCACTCAACAAGGATTTCAAGAAACCTCAGTTCTGGGGAAGATTTCAACATCTGAAAGGAGCTGGCTGCTTTATAAACAGAAATGCTTTAATTTTTAAAAGCGGTTAATAAATGTATAAGCCCCAGATGCAGAAAGGCTCAGCATTTAGAAAGACAAAGATTCAGAAATTTAAAAATTCTTCAGATGGCTTGGCCTTGTTTCCCATCTGGAGTTCTGGGCATTCAAGATATTTATTTTTTAAGTGGGGAAGAGAACATAGGGAAGATGAAGTAATCAAATAATAGTTTATAACATTCTGTTCATTTTAACAGCAAATCTCTAGCATTTCATTATACCTCTAAAGGCAAACAAAGGTTGTTGTTGTTGTTTTAGAAAGCAATATGTTCAAAAAGCTTGCTTTGCATCCTGATCTGTAACTTGTGGATTAAGAACCAAGAAGTTAGTCTTCCAATTGTTTGATGCTAGCAGAAGTTACTTGAAAGGGTACTCACAAACCATACAGCTAGTTGCTTAAAGGAAATAAAGTAAAGATAATGTGTCACCACCTAAAAGCAGTACACTTCAGCAAAGCTGTTCAACTACCTTCTCTTGCCAAGAAACTGTCAATAGGTGCCACTCCCTCACACTAGGGCCCGCAGAAGCTCACAGTTAGAATTTGCCTACTGCAGACCCAAACTTCTTCCTCCGCCTTAGGACCTATCAATTAAGCACATCAACCCCTGTATTCCTGTCCCACAGAGAAGTAACTGTTTGAGAAAACCCCTGTGCTAAAATACTACTGCTCGAGAGGGGCTGAAGATGGGGATGTAGCCAGTAATAGAGCACTGCTTAGCATGCTCAAGGCCCTAGGTTCTATACTCAGCACCAGAGAGAGACAGGAAGACAGAGATGGACAGATACAGACAGAGAGAAAAGAAAGAAAAAGAAAAAAATGGAAAGAAGGGAGGAGGGCAGGTCAGCATGGGCTGTGTTGCAGAAAAAGGATGAGATTCACAAATAATTTAGGAAGGAAGAGAAAATATACATATATCTTCCTGTAAAATACATGCAACTGAATTTCTCTGGTGGTTTAATCAGTATGGGAAGGAAAAAAAACCCTCTTTGTCTCTTTATTATTTATTTAGGCAGATCAAAGGGCTTCTCCATCCAGCTTCAAACACTGTGGGAGTCATTTCAGATCACAAACAATACTGGTGAATGAGTTCTGAAAATAGCTTTCCTGGGAAGGCGGGCCATGTGCTGAGTGGGGCTTTGGCTTCTGCTCTGCGCCTCAGCCGAAACACTCCCCTCCCACAAGGAAGAAGCCATCAGCCCTTCCACATAAGGGAGTCCCACATACTTTTCCATACTGATAGGAAGAGCAAAACAACCCTTCCCCAGGCTTCATTGACATTTTGCTGGCTTGAATGCGTTTCCACTAAGCTGTGATGTCCAACAGAGCAGCCCTTCCCTGGGTCTTCATTGAGCATATGGGAACCGGGTTCTTACTCTGGTTTAAAGCTGAATGGCCCTGTCCTTACCCATTTCCTGTTCTAAGACATATATCAGAACTTGGGCTCTGGTCCTTTGCAAGCTGCAGAGGAGGTTGAAAAGAGTTAGGAAATCAATGAGGGATAAGGGGGAAAAAATCCTAAACCCCCAAAAGTTAGGGATGGAGCCCAAGTGAGCCTCTTGTTTAAAAAGAAAAGGCGGGGAGGACCTGGAAGGGGAAAAATTAAATACCAGGAAATGCCGGGTTCTTTCTTTTCTCTCCACCCTACTCCACCCCTTGAATGCCTTCTCTTATAAGTCACCAGATCACCATATCATCTAGAAGCTTTTCCTTCCCAAATGAGTGAGGAGAGGACAGGAGGCTAAGAGGATCATCAAAGAGACCAAAGGAATCCCAGATCTAGTCTGTGGGCTACCTGTGGAAGAAGGCTAGCATAGGGATAAGGACTTCAAATCCTGCGGTCACCCATCATTGCCCATGGGCACAAAACAGGAATACCAGTCATAACCACCATCATTGCTGCTCATGGTTTCAACCTTCCCTTGCTCCACAGGCTGAAATACTACTGATCAGCAACATAGCCCAAAGACTAATAGTTCAGATACTGAACAGAATCACAGATTCATAAGGTATGGTGAATAGAGCAACAGGGTAAGGGTATTTGGAATATTTAAGAAGTATATTTAGAAAGAACTGAATATATGAAACACAAGTCATGGGAATATTTTTCTTCATGTATTTTAGCATTTGGACAAAACTTCTACATGATATGCTTAGATATTTAGAAACACAACAGATAGCTAACAAATTCTCTGAAGAAGAAAGTCAAAGCAGACTTCATCAACAACAAGGAAGTACAAGGCATGTAGAATATTGTGAAGGTGCACACGTATGTAGTTCCCCCTACCATAATATCTAGCTATTTCTTTAATGTCCAAGAGAATCACAATAATTCTAGAGAAAACGCACAACTAACAGGAAACAGATTTGTTGGCAAATATAAGTAATGATAGTTTTATGGAGGGCAATGCATGGAAGTGATAGGATGTTGCAGACTAATTAAATTCAAGATAATGTATTTCTGTTTCTCAAGGAAGGGCCTAATAACTCACAAGAAGAGGAAAATGTTTTTCTCAATACCCCTGGAGACAGAACAACAAATAGCTACTAAAATCAAGATTTTTGTTCTTTTTCATCCCCTTGGCAGTTGAGGCCAGGCCCATCCTGTAAAGTCAAGGGACCATTAATACAGTGCTAATTATGGCTGAAGAGGCTAGAAATTCAAGTTGACAGGCAATGTACTCATCTAGCAGGGAATATGCATTGCAGAATTTGTTAAACCAAACACCTGCCCATTCCTTCCCTTAAGATTCCCAACACATAGCAGAAGAATATGGTTGGGGATGAGATCAGGAAATGACAGAAAGGCAACACTCTTACCTGGCTGCTCCATACTCAGGGGGATGCTGATACCTCATCAGTTGCCCCTCTGTTCTCCCTGGCTGGTTCAGGCGATGCTCACTATAGAAGTGCCCTGGCTCTTGGGGCTTGCACACTACAGACTGGGGTGGCATGCCCTTGAAGGGATACTCTGGTGGGGGGCCTCGGTGTTCCATGCCCTTCAGGCTATGCTGGTTGGGAGCTTGCCCTTGGGCCTTGTAGAATTCACTGGAACTTGTGGGATTCTTGTAGAGGTCATTGGGTTGTGGTGGGGAGAGGGGAGCACTGGTAACAGGTGGATGGGCCTTAACTCCACTGGTGGCTAGTGACATTTGCATCAATCGTTCACTCAAGGAGCGGACGTGCCCTTGTTTAAGGTCTCTGAGTCCTTCATCCTGATGCATCTTCCCAGGATTGAGCCTTTGAACTGATGGGCGTCCCTCGGTCCTCATCTTCTGGTTGGTGACACCAGTGACATAGAAGGCAGCTCCAACACTGGCATGCTGTTGGCCCCGAAAATATTGAGACTGGACCTTGGCTTCTTCATAGGTCGGAAGTTCCTCATTATTCTGCACTCGGGGAGACAGCTGCTTCTCCATGATGATATTTTCTGATTGGATTTCCTGGCCCTGGGGTTCTTGGCGAGCAGCGTGTGCTACCAGCTGTTGGTGGTGGTCTTGGGGACTCAACACATCATTCTGAGGGCCTGGATTCCCACTGCCAGTGGGGAAAGGAGGGCCATTCCCTGTAGCTTGCTGGTGGATGGCAAGAAGATTGCGATTCTCATTAGGATTGCCATAGCGAAGCTGCTCTTGTAGCAGACGCTGCAAAACTGTGGTCCCTCCACTTGGCTGTTCTTCAGAATTTCTCATCTCTATCGCTGGTGGTGCCTTGTGAAGAGAGAGAGAAATTGGGCACTTGGGCTGCCCTTGACCTGGGAAGGGGAAACAGGAAGCTTAACACCCAATTGATGGATAAATCAATCCTCTAAAGGGGGAAGAAAATGGGTATTTGGGGCAAGGATTCCATTGCAGAAACAAAGTAGAAAATTGAATCTAGAAATAACAGATTAATTGCTGGGATTCCTGGCTTTAGCACCAATATGATGAGGAATGTGGAGGCATAAGAGCTCTCCTCTTTCACTTTTAGCCTGAGTTATATACTCAGTCTTGACTTAATTCCTAGGAGGAATGAGGAAATCTAGGGCAGTTTAAGAAGAGTGATCAGGGTGGGCAATTTTCCAAGGTCCTTACTCACATGGTTCATCTCTCTGTACTGTATTTAAATAAAAAATCCAAGTCTTATGGCTGTAGAGGTAAGGGCAGGACAGTGGGGAGAGTTATCCCACAGACAGGATTTGTAAAGCAGTTTGGTGTGTGATGTGAGCTATAAAATGATAAATAAGAACTAAAATTAATTAAAGGTGAAGAGACCTTGACCAGAGACAACTGATCCTTAAATTGATGCAAATGTTTTTCTCAAATCTCATTTGACTATGAAATATATCTTTTAAAAAAAAATTCCTTTTTGGTATTGTGCATTTTAGATGCTCTGTGGCTTAGTCAGAGAATGCCTTGGGACAATTATTACTGACAAAGTTTCTCTTTCAGCCATCCAGGGACAGTCACTGAGATTTGCTATTGTTGTTGTTGGGTAAGAGAAGCTTAAAGGAGAAGTGCCTCTTTCATTTGAAGTGAACCTCTGACAACATTTGGAAATCTTTCAGGAAAGGGTATGATATAATATCCCCCACTACCACCACCAATTCTTCTAAGGATGTAACATGGGCTGAGTAAAACAGGTAAGATAGTAACACAACTTAAGATTCAAATTCTAATATAATACTAGTTTACAGGGTAACCGAAACAAATGATTTGTCTTTCCCTGACTTCCGTTTTCTTATCTGAAAAATGAGTGGTGGGTGACACACATGCCTTTCCCGCTTATTAGAAACTCGAAAATGCATTGGAGGGAATCTGTCATGGTAAGTACTGCAATTAAACGCTAATGTGAAATAATGAAACTTTTGCTCTAAAGATCTGATGTTACTGGTTAAGAATAGACATAATGTCACACAAAAAGTCACAATAAAGGTCTAATTGGCCTTAGGTTTCTTAATGAAAACCCTGGATTTCTGGCTCTCAGGTCTTCACTTCTATATTAAGCAGTCTCCAATCTTTCTGGAAACATGAAACCCCTTCCTTAGTGATGCAGTGAATGACCGAGAATATGTGTGTGGCAGATGTAGATGGTCGCCTTTTCTCCTTTCTCATTTCTTGATGAGTATCACTCCCTAGTTTCCAATTCTGTTTAGCAGTTCGACCCCACAGCTAGCCCTCCAGAAAAGCTTTTTAAATTCCATTCATCATACTCTTTTGGAAAGTGCATGGCAATCACCAAAAAGCTGAGCAACTTGCCCTCTAATCTCCTTGCCCAGCCTCCCAGTGATCCTCTGGGATTCCTTCATTTGAACTGTCAAAGTAGGATTTTCTCCCGGGCTCACATTCATAACATATAAATTATTTGGTGCATGAAACTGGAGAGAAGACTACTGAACTACTTTTCTTTTCACACACACACACACACACACACACACACACAAAATAAAAACAGAAATGTCTGTAGTTCAAGCAAATCCAATTCCCTTCTACAAGGCAGAAAATGCAGATATTGAGTTGTCCCAGGCCCAGAAAAGTGTGCCACCCCCTCCCATGCCACACGCACCCCACCCAGCACACACACATAGGCGCACACACGCACGCACGCACACACACACATGTACACACACATGTACACACCAATAGTCCATACCTATTTCTGCTTTCTTTTAGGCTTAAAGCCTTGATCAGGATAGGGAATTCTTGCTTATGAGCAGCTCCAGAAACCGCAGTGGCAGATTCCCTCTCCCCTAACACTCAGGTTCAGGGTAAGCGCCGCCAAGAGTCCAACCACTGGTCACTCTGAAATGTTCAGGAGGGGGAGGGAGGGAGAAATAAAAATGTTGTTTCTATATTGCCACCAACAGCCAGAAGTTAACTGAACCTCTCTTTCCAAGGGAATGACTTGTCTTCCCAAGGTGCCTGGCTTTTAAATGAGTGGCAGAATCCATCTCCACTACAACAGAAAAGAAACCTCACTGTCCAGGAACTGTTTTCAGAAGTTCATGCCAGTCTCCAGGTGGTGGAAATGCTCAGGCCTGACACTGGAAAAGAATTGCTCTTTTCTAAGGTCACAGCCCTAGAAAGCTATCCTAGTTGGAATACTGGGTGATGTCAAAAGCTATAACTGCTGTCGTGCTAGGGTACAACGTTTACATTGTAAATGTACATTGTTTATAAGGCTCACTGCCCTAAGTCCCGGCAGGGAAGGCAGTCATCATAAGATAGGTTGTGAGTCAAGTTCCTGATTTGACTGCCTTGGTCTCAGATCCGCAGAGTAAAACAAAACTTCTTTTCAGTAAAGTCATGTAGTATTTTTAAAATATTGACTATTCCAGATATTTGCCAGCCTCATGCAAGGCACAATGAGAAATACAAAGACACACAAAATATAGTTTCTGCCCTCATGGAGCTTACAATCTGATCACCTGATTGATGGTCCACCCATTCTTGCTGGTGTAGGAAAGTTGACTACCCTTCCAAACCTAGAACTACAACCCTTCTCCAAAAACAAGATGCTTCTACTTGCTTTTCTCAGCACTTCTCCTGCCCCAGAATTTCAGCAAAAGAAATCTACTAGACTCATGTAAGTTAGATGAGCTGCAAGAGCCCTTAAGATATGTATTTGAAGTAGTCCTCATTTATAATTTCTACTTTGACCTCTGAAAAGCCCTCCAGGTGCAATCAAATGGTTATAAAACTTATGAGTTTGTGTAGGTGAGATGCACATGAACCACTTCTGACCTAGCCATTACTTATTCATCTCACTTAAAGGAAAAGCTTCAGTCAGCACCAAAGTCTCCATCTGAGGAGCAAACATCTCTGTGTTCTGGAGACATGCCCCAAATGTTCAAGATTTTTTTAAAAAATCACAAAACCACACAATGATGAATTTAACATAATTTCCCTTACAAATGTTGCCAAAGATAAAGTGAGCAAACAAGGTAAACAAACATGGAAATTTGTCTTTCCATCTTGTTTGGTCCAATGTAAAGTCTGAATTGAAGGTAAAATCATTTTTAATCTGCTAAGTAATTATTTTAGGGTGTCTATCCCTAATTTCAAAGCAGCGGAACAACTTTTAATTGGAATCAAAGCAGAACTGTTAACAGAGCTATAGTAAATAACCACCGTGTTTCTATTGTCTGATTTTGAACAAAACATTTGTTTTTTTTAACAAAAACACCAGAAAACAGTGCAAATCTTTTAAACTTCAGTCCCTGGAGAGAAACCACCATACAATTCTTTCCGAGAACTACTTAGATTCTTCTTTATGCCGACTGTGACTTTCTTCTTATGACAGCAGCTCCTCAATGGGAAATGTTTTCTTGTCCAAAGTCTTACTATTCCTTTAATTGTCCTCTCTCTCCTCCACATCCTTTTTAAAACCTAAATCGCTTTATGTTAACCGGACACAGATTGTTCACACACACACACACACACACACACACACACACACGCTCCAGAAAGTTTTGGTTTCTGTTTAAAAGAGGAAAAGAAATCAGCACAAGAAAGCAACATTACAGAGTCCTCTCCAGCTTACTGCTTTTTTCTTAAAGAATTTATGTTCCTATATGTCACAAGTCACCTAAGAAGGAAAACACAACTTCATTTACTTATTAGAGAAAGGAAAGAAAAAGATTCCTTGTCTCATGAACAGAAAGTAAAATGGCATGAATTTTGCAACTTTTAATCCACCCACACCTTTAATCGTGTCACTAAAAGGGATCTGACATCACCTTCAATCAATAAAATAACCTTGTTTCTCCTGGACATACAGGCTGCCCCTTAGGGTATCAGATAGAAGAAGAAAAGATAGCTGTACTTCTGTCTAATTTTTTTTTCTAGTTTCCAGCTTGGATCTGAATGAATCTTTAATTTTTATAGATAAGTAATTTACTAAAATAATAGCAAGCAAATGAGAAGAATTTAAGGCTCAAAGTAAAAAAGACATAAAGCCAATAATAGAGTTTGAAATATTGATATTTACTGAAGGTAAAGCTCTTTATATATAATGATTATATCATTTATAAGGCAAATTAAAGGCTTCAAAATATTTTTGGTAATGTACACCATAACACTTAAAAAACACTTAAAAATTGTTAGTATTCCAAAGTCTATGTCTAGATACACAGACACATTAACGTGTACTTCTGTCTTTAAAAGTGCAATGTGAATCTATATTCAGCTCTTCTGCAACAACAGGGGAGCAAAGCCAAGCTAAATTTGTATCCACTTGCAGCCACTGGCCTCTCCCAGTATACCTGGGAGGCTGAGCCAAAAACACATTTAGTGAGAGACCAGATGTTTCCCAAGCAAAGTCCCTGAAAAATCAACATTACAAGGTACCTAGGACAAAACAAATTTCCAACCTTCAAATAACTTTTGCAATATGCCTATAAGATCTCCTTTCTATTCTTTCTGCCACCTCCTCTTCCTATTCTTCCGCCACCCCTCATTCCACCAACCAGCATGGAGACTCTAAGTCTAGAAAAGCTGTTTCTCCACTAAATCTTGGTGAACTGGTTTCACACAATTTTATTCCCAGCTAAACAGAAAAGAGCCAACTCAAAGTTTCCCTGTAACTGTGTCCATGTATTTATGAACACGAACACACACACACACACACCAACATGCATGCACGCACATACACAGACACAACACCCTCTCACAGAAAGTGAGAAGCCCCAGTAAATTCTCATGCCCTCTTAAGTTGTAGACTGAAGTGTCCTAGAAAATTCCTTTCCTGACAGTTTTTCAACCCAGGATACAAATCACTTCCTTAGGGAAGTAAAAAACAATAGTCTTTTTGTAGGTTATCCCTAAACATTTGATGGATAATGGCTAGGCAGTATAAGTATCATAGTTAAGAGGCTTAGAGTCATACTGCTCAAGTACAAATCCTGGTTCTGTGGCTTACTCACTGACTTCAGACACATCTCTTGACCTCCCCAGTCTCAATTTCATCATCTAGAAAATAGAGGCAATGGTGCTCATACCTCATAGGGTAATTATGAAGATTAAGGGAGGTAATCCATGTAAAGTGCTAAGCACAGAGCCTGGAAAATAGTAAAGGCTCAATAAAAGTTAGCAATTGTTGTAAATAAAATTCCTAAGTAGCCTTTCTTTAGAAGGCTATAGCAATGATATGAAGTAAAGCTGTTTTTTGGAAACCTTTATTTACAACTCAGTCTTCTGTGTAGAGGTCCTTAGATCATCAAAGACCTGAACTGGAAAGGCTCTTGGGAGATGACTTGGTCATCCACTCCTTTCTTTCTATAAGATGGCCATTCCAATGCTTCAAAGGGTTCAGAGCCAGCACCAGAATGCAGGTTTTATAACTTTTAGGGCAAGAGCCCTTCCTTATAGTATATTATCTAGCATCATCAGCTTATACACATAAGATGCCTAATAAATGTATATTAAGTTGAATTAATCTTGGCTTTAAGAGACTATAAACTGGCTAAATGATCCCACCAATTTTCCAGCTCTGTTGGAAGTAAAATGCAATGGTAGGAGGGGGAATTTAAACAGGTAAAAAGGAAGTGTTTAGCTATCAGTATGATGAAAGATCCTTGCAAAATCTCTCTTCTTCAGGCCAAAATGTACAGGTAGATATGAAAGCAGCATAAATTTTCACTGATCAATGTTTCCAGGGCCCTATTCTAGGTCTCAAAAATCCATGATATTAGCTTTGCATTTGCTCTTAATCTTGCCATAGCTTAAAAAAAGACTTAAAGAAAGAGTTGGCTCCCACTCTTTGCTCTTATCTCTACATTTGTCTAGATTAGGCTGGAAAATTACTTTAAGAAACATAACAAGGCCTTTGCATTTCCAAATCTTACTGAGAGTCAGTGTCAGAGATATGTTTCTACAATGGTAATTCAAAGGCTTGGTCATTGTTGGTCCCAATCTCATATAACTGTGCTCCTACACAAATAACTTGAACATGTTAATAGGTCACAAAGGTGACTGACCGTAAAGTGGATGCGAGCAGTGAAATACAAAGTAGGAGAGAGAACCTGTTGCCAGCCCCATTTCATGCTCTGACACACAAATCCATTCCAGAGGACCATACCACACACACTGTCACACCCTGTTTCTTATTATGTCAGAAAACATATAAGGGATCTACAAAATCAGATTGACCATAAAATGAGAAACATTTAAGAATATACCTAGGGCCAGCCACAGTACCACACACCTGTAATCCCAGCACTCAGGTGGCTGTGGTAGGAAGACTGCAAATTCCACGCTAGCCTGGATTACACAGCAAAATCCTGTTCAAAAAAAAGACTATGCCTAGAAACTTCATGCTTTGCCACATTTTCCCTTGACTCCAACGGTACAATACCCCTTTTTATTCTTACTTTATTTTACAAGTAATATAAGCATAGCATGCAAATATTTATAACAAAAAAAATAAATCACTTCTAATCCCAACAGTTCAATTCAAACGTTGTTAACAACAGAACATTCCCTTCACTTCCTCCTATGTGTTTTTACAAAACAATAAAATAATGTACATATAATTTTGGATCCTACATTTATTTCACTTTATCATAAGTACTTTCTCCACGTTGTGGCATAGACTCTCTAACAAACATTCTAATGGCTGTGTAATAGTCCATAAAATGAGTGCATCAAGATTTGCTTACCCAATCTCCAATTATTAAGTCACTGAAATGGCTTCCAATGTTGTGGTAGTCTAAATAATGTTACAAAACCCACCTTGTGATTTAGCTTTTTTCAATTTTTGGAGTGTTTCCTAATGATGGAATCCCAGAAGCGAAATTAATGAGTCAAGGAGTATGACTGTTTTTAGACAACCCATTAGAGAAATAAAACTACCAAAACACCAAAGCTCCATGAAATCTCTTCCTCACAATGAAAAGCTCTCCTGCTTCCATTTCAACCAGGGCTGAGTTAGGCTTCAGGGAGAGAGGGAGAGAGGCCAAGAGAAGCAGTGTAGTATCCCAGTAGCTTGCGAAATGACAGAATGGAATGTGGGCTCCCCTGTGAATCCAGCTTGCATGCACTTGCCCCAAATTGCCACTTGGCCAAGAAGCTAATTAGAAAAAGCATCAGGTGGGTGAAAGCAGGGTCACAGCCTGTAATGGCTTATATCATCTTTCATTTTTGCCCTTGGATAAATCTGATAGTCAGCTTGCAGACATTCAGTTCTAGTGACCCAACCTGCTCCATTCTGAAAATTTAGCTTGTTTTCAGATCTTCTCAACATATCCTACAAGGCATTTTGCTCTATAGAACCAACCATACATGATCAATGAGCCTGTGTGCTATGTGTGTACCTTTATTCATAGCCTCAGTTAAGGTGACATTTAAAGTCAGCCCTTTTAATATTATATGACTGTGCCAGGGATTTAGCTCAGTGGTTCTGCCGCCTGCCTTGAAAGCACAAGGACCCAAGTTTGATCCCCGGTATCAAAAAAAAAAAATACATCTTTAATATTATATGACTAAGTGGCACCTGTCTTAAATGGTCAATGTGTTATAGACAGGTTTCCTTGCAGATTCAACTATAAAGCCATCCAGTCCTGGAGAAGGGGAGGCAGCAAACTAGAGGTACCTCTGGCTTAGTGAAAGCAGCCATGACAGGCACTTGTTTCCTTTGCTTCTTTGCCAGAACTCTCAGAAAAGAGAAGTTCTGCTTTTAACCTGCTCAATCCCTCTTACCACAATTATGCTCAACATGGAAAATGAATTCTCTTTTTTCTGGACTCTCTTCTTTCTCTCCACTGCTACATTTATCACAGCATATTTTCCACAGGCCATTTAGTGAGCACTTACTATAAAAAGACACTGTCTTAGGTAGAAATAAAGAAAAAAGAAAAAAAACACAGGAAAAAACTCAAGAAAACAGAGTCCAATCCTCCAGGAGTGGCCAGGCAAACAGAGGAGGCACAATGCGATGAATAAACAGAGTTCTGAGCTCATAGTTCTGGCAATGTGGAAGACTCTGCATTCCCCAAAAAAAGCTTCCTGGAGGGAAAAAACTTTTGAGCTTAGCAGAAGACATGGAATCTGGTAACCAACTTGAAGTCAAAGACAGGTTGAGATATATCTTTGGGAGTCATTAGTATATTGGTGACAGCTAAGGTCCTAAGAGGGGGCTGGACATTACAGAGTAGAATGAGAACAGAATCAAGGATAAAACTAAGGATGAAACCCTGAAAAAAATGATCATTCAAGGATCAGGCACTTTCCAAATGTGCTGGTGAGAGAAATTCCTTATTGATTCTATAGCTTTTCTCTCCATACACCTTCAATATAGACCCGGACTAATGCATTGCTTCAGAGACAGAAGTCCCAGCTGCAATACAAAGAGAGAAACAAAATTTAATTCTTACCAGTTATGCTTCTAAATGCTCAGGCAGAAATCACAGTAATGAGTTGAACCAGAAATGGAAGTGGAAATCACTAGATGGTGAAATCAGGCATGGGCTGCCTGTGTGATTTTTCACTGTATCTGTCCCAATACCTAAAACATTAATTGATACATACAGTCTGCTTAATAGTTGCATATTGAGTGAATAACAAATCCCCAAAGATTTTGCTAAAGGCAGTATCAGAAGAAAAGGAATGAAAGATACGGAATAACAATATTACCTTTAGTTTCTCAGCCTTCTTTCTAAGGATCCAAAAGCCCCTTCCCTCCTGTTCTTCTCAGCAGCTCTGTGCAAAAATAAAGGCATATGTGATTAATTCCATTTAACAACTGGAGAAGCTCAAGTCTGGAACAGATAGCTAACAATAACTAATTTCACCAGAGTTTCACTGTTGTTCATTGGTAGGGTCAGGATGAGAAACCGGGTTTTGTAACTTCCTGTCCCGTCATGTTATAAGACAAAACCCTCCAAAGATTACGTCTCTGGTTTTTAAGAGACCAGTTCATGAGAGAAATTCATTCCAAAAGCAACCTCCCTCAGCATTCCTACAGGATCTTGAACAAGTGAGAGTGCTACACCTAGCAAAAAATTATCTAAGACATTTCCCAAGCCAACTTTGGGATGGCTAAATGTAATTCCCCAGGGTGCTCTAGTGACATAATAGGGCAGTTCTTATTTTGCTATACCCCTTTTTTAGGAAGCTCCATCTACCTTCAGCCTCAGTTTTGTGTCTGACTGGGGCTCAGATGCTGACTGCAGGTGTGGCATCCAGCAGGTGCATGGACAGGAGCCAACATTTCATATCTTCATGCCAAAGGGCTTGAGTCACCCTCCCAAGACAGAAGCAGCTCCTCCTCCTCCTGTTGCTGATCTTGGAGCACCTGCACCCTGCCTTGATTGAGCTGCAACTGCAAAACTGAATGGAGATCCTGCCTTCCCAAGAAGAACTACAGTGAGATCAGCGAAGCCACAAATCATATAACCAGCCAACTTTCCCACTTGCAGAAACTAATGTAGGCACATACCATGGGAATGTATCAGGGAGCATATGTACGGAATGACCATCCTGTACAAGTTATGGAACAAAGGAAGACCACAAGCAGACACATATTATACATTGCACTGAAGAGCATCGACTCTGTTGCAAATGACCCTGAAACTTCAGAAGCTAAACTCATTCCCCTAAAAATGATGAGTAGAATAGAAAGAATCTGCTAGGAATCCTGTGATCTTATTTCCACCATAACCCCTCTTCTTTAGACTATCAAGAGAGAAGTGCATAGTCTATTCACAAAAAACACCACGTCAGAAAACTCATCACAAAACTATCTGGCAGACTGAGGAGCCCAGAATGCTCCTGGGGGCAGAGGGAGTCATCAGTATTTATTAGCCCTAACAAACATTTGCTTTTTAAAAACAATCTACCTTCCCCTGAGCCCTCTCTTCCACTATTCTCCTACACAGAGCAAAGAGAAAGTAATTGTAGAAGGAAAGGAAATCAAATATTACCTTAATAAAATTGTTTATTATGATTAATGATATTTCTCCAAGTCTCAAGGAAAACAAAAATTTAATAAGCTTTAGTTTATGGCCCATGGTCTATAAAGTAAAAGTGGCTACTAAACTAAAATGTGATCATTGTATATAAATGGAATAAAGCAAAAGTCTGAATTAAAAAGCTAAATGTAATAAAGATGAAATTAGATTCCTTCAAAATAGGCAATCTAAATAATTTTCCCCATCTGTGATTTTTATCTTCGTTTGCTATCACATGAAAAAATGTCACTAATTCAGTGTAAATCTATGCCCCTTGAAAAGGATCAAAATGAATAAAGAATTCACTAATTAGCTTCCTAATGGGGAATGTTTTAATTGAACTATTCTATAACAACCTTCATCAAAGTTTCCAGGGCAACTTCATAAAAGGATGTCAAACCTGGCCCATATTCTTATCCCCTTAAAAATAATTCTCAATACACAGAAACACAGAAAGCAGATTTCTCTTCAATACTGTTACCACTCAGGCCACTACATTTTCTGATGTCAGCAATCCCCTTCCCACAAATATTCCAAGTATGCACCACCATCATTCTCCTTTCAATTATGTGGTTTCTCTGCTCCTTTACTGATTGAGTCCAGGCCTCTTGGATAATGAGAAGCATGTGCAGGGAAAATATGCTCTTAAAAACACATACATCAGTTTCATCTGCATTAAAATGGGGGAGAGTGGATCATTTGTCCATATCAAAAGGATCAAAATGTAAAGTTTGCTATGAGACATTACAAGGGGGAAAAAAGATCTGCATCAATTCCCTAAGGAGGGGACAGTTATTGTGATCTGAAGCAACACCAATAAGAATAAGGGAGCCCCCGCAAAAAATTCACCCTTTCTAGTTTCGCAACATCTATATTTAATGTTATCTTAATGTTGCCTTGGGGGGGGGTATTTAAGTTCTGACATACACATGGAAATGAGCCATGAATTGTGCAGCAAGCATAAATATTCCATCATTAATAAAAACCAGCTGTGAAAAAACACTACAATGGCTGGGTTTCAGTTACTGGCTATCATCAGTATTTGTCACAGGCAAATATTACTCAAAACTTTCTTCGTTAAAACATACACAGAAGTTTGCCTTACTCTTTAACATTCTGGAAGACCTTTGAAGAGCTCGCTGACCACTGACTCACTATAGTGCATTCCAGCCGGTGTCTCTTTTTGAAGCTATTTTTTTTATCACCCTGGCTGTCACTAGCGTCTTCTCATTTGCACCTCAAATTACCGCAGAGTATGAAAATGTTTAATTGTTTTCCTAAAAGCTGAGAGGGTCAATAATACAAATCTGGGGCCAATCTTAATTATAGCCAGTAAGGCAATGGAGTACCAAAGGGCACTGAACACTATAAGAGAGCAAAGCTCATTAAAAGTGAACACCTGCTCGGGACCCTGTAATAATCCCGCTCTGCCATCATACAAACACCTTTCATCCAATGACCTCAAAGCATGTGCCCAGAATGAAGCATGCCTAAACACCTCTGTGAAGTATTAATATCCTTGCTTCCCAGAAGGGTAACTGGAGCTTAGAGCAGCTAATTCATGTACCCTTGATCACATGGCAAGTAAGAAAGGGACTGGGCAGAGAAATCCAGATCCTGGCATCAAGTAATATAGGCTAATATCATTTCATGGGGTTGGGACAATAGTGAAAGTGACTTCACAAATATCTAGGCAAGCCTACTGAATTTTGAAAAGAGTACATTTTTCAAGAACTGCCTGAGGGTGTATTAGCAAATAGATCTATTTGTATTTACCCATGAACATTTATTACAAAAAATACTCCTGTACTTCATTTGGCGCTTCATAAACAGCAAGGACTGTATCTCGGCCAGCTTGGGCTACATAATGAATTCACGGCCAGCCTGAACTGCATAGCGAGACCCTGTCTCATCAAATAAAAAAACAAAACAACAAACAAAACCCCATATCTCACTATTCTATTCTGTATAGAGAAATTATTAAATTTATGATGAGCCATTGGTTACCAAGCATGAATCCATCAAAAATTGGAGATCTCATATATGCTATTCCATGTTCTCGAAGGAAAAATTAAAAGTCCATGAAACTAAACTTTCATTACACCATGAAGAACTCAAATGAAGTTCCCATTGTGTGAGAGACACTATACTATATCTACATGTTTTTTATTTGTGTGGATTTTTGTCTTTGGTTTCGCTGTCTTTTGTTTTGGGGCACTGATCCGTGTTTGTTCCCTGTTTTGACCATTTTCAATCTTTTTTTCGCCCTTTCCCTTTGCGGCTGCTTTCCTTTTTATGTTTTAACTTTTTTATTTTTTTTATAGCTCTTCTCTCGGCCTATGTGTGTTTTGTTTCTTCTTTTTTCTTTTGGTTATTTCTTTTTCTTTTTAAATTTCTCTTTCTGTGGTTTCATGTGATAGTGTTTTAAGCTTTACTGTCTGTTTTTTTTTCATCGTTCAGGGTGGGGTCCTATTTTTTGTTTTGTTTTTTTGTTGTTAATGAATTGGGCGGTTCTCTTGATGTCAGGTGCTTTTAATTAGTTGGGTTGGTCGGTCCCTGATGAGGTCGATGCCTTTAAGTGTTTAGTGTTTCCTGGCTCAATGTGTTGGTTTGCGCTTTAAGTCTCGGAACAAGTTTGATTCTTCAGTTGTTTTCATTGAGGTTTCTCGTTGGCGGTTTCTCTATCTGTGTCTTTGGTTGTGTCTTATTTGGGCGTGTGATTGTGTATCCCTGTGGCCTTCGCTATGTACACTTCCTCTGAGTCCTGTACCCACGCCTTAGCAGAGGCTTGGACACGTGCACGTTCGTGATCTGTTGGGGTGATTGGCTTGTTGGTTGCGTTTTGGAGGGTTTCTTAGTTTTTTTCTTTTGTGTTTTTCAGATATGCACCTGTATGTATTTTTTTGGATATCTGTTTACGTTTTGCTTTTTTGCACGGACCTGTTGTTTCCGTTACTGTGTTTGTTGCGGCCGTTTCTCTTGATTCTCTTGGTGATCCTTTGCGTTTCCGGCCGGTCTTTGCGGCCGGGACGCGGTCTCCTGGTTTTCCGTTCTGTTTCTTACACTCATCGTGTTGTACCTCTACATTTTTGCGTATCGTTTGTTTTCGATTTTTAGTTGTGGTGGTTAGGGCTGGGTCTAGAGCCTTGGTCCCTCTTGCTAATAGTGTGCTTTGTGCCCGGTTCTTTTGGATTTTTTGCGTTCTATTTGTTTTCGTTGTTGTTATTTGTTGGAATCAATTTTCTGTCTGTTTGGGTGACATATAACGGCTGGCAATTTCATCTTTTACTTATTTGTGTTGGCTGGTCCCATCTTTAGCCTTGTTTTCTTTCCCTGCTGTTTGATTTCTTTGGGGTAGGTACTGCTGTCTCTCTTCTATTTTTACTTTTGTTTCAGTTGTATTTTTGCTGTTTTTATTTTAAAGTATGTTATTTTATCCTTTTCTGTTTTTCTTCCTTAGCATGTTGGCTTCATAGTCCAACTCGTTTCTTCTTTTTATTCACGCTGTGATCATTTCATGGGGCTCTTGTTTATTCCTTTCCACGATCATTTTGTTTCTTCTCATTCCTTGTTGTAGTGTTTTTTTTTTATGTGTTTCTCCTGATTGTTTCTCGGCAGTAGCTGGGATAGCTAGTTCTTTCACTGTGCCCTGTTCTGTGTCCTTTTTTTTTGTTTTTTTTTTTTTGTTCTGCTTGTGTTTGTGCCCGTGCGTCTTTGTGTGTATGCGGGGTCTCTTTCCCCGTTTCTCTGGGTTGCCATGGTCGTGGCGCCTTTGTTGGATGTGTGTTATCTAGTATTGCCACCTTTTTTAGTTCTCTCTTTGTCCCGTGGTTCAACTTTTTGCCTTTGTCTTGTTTTTTGAACCCTTGATTTTGGTCTCTATTCCTGAGCAGGCAGCCCGGCCTTGATTGTAGGACTTTTTACAACATATCCTATCATCAGCCAGATTTTTATTTTTGGAGACCGGTAATCCTTTTCTTACGCTTTTAATTTTATTGGTTTAGTGCCCAGCTGCTTAACTTGTGAGTTAAATCTCTACTCCCACTGCATCCATGGGTTCCTGATGTGATGTACTGGGAGGTTTGGAAGTTTTTCTCCGTTTTTCATCCTACTTGTGTTGGTGGCTGTTAGCCGGGCCTTTTTCCCCGTCTTTCTGTTGGTTTTCGCTGTGTTTCCTGGGTTTACCTGGCAATTTCTCTGGGGCAGCGCCTAGGCCTTGACTGTTGTCCTGCGTTCCTTGTGCTCGGTTTCCATTGCGGCGGGTGTTTGTTTCCTCGCATTTGCGTCGTGGATGTGTGTCCTCTCCTCTTCTTCGTTGGTGCTCTTTCTCCGGCCACCCCTCTGGTTTTGGCCGGGTGGGGGTCCGTTCTGACCTTCTTGAGTCCTTTGGGTGACTTTTGTGGGGTTCCGGCCTCGAATCGTTGGGGGGGGGGGGCAAAAGAGTGTGAGAAACTCCTCTTATCTCCAAATGGAAAAAAGGGCCTTAAAAAGCTGGATCAAAGGAAGAAAGGGGGATGGGGGTGAAGGGCTGCTTAATTACAAAGACACCCTTTTAAAGAAGGCCCAGGCCCTGGGAGAGGGCTCCTAGGAGAGGCCCAGAAGCAGATGTACCCACTTAGGATTCTGGCACTCAATGGGACCTCAAAGTCAGAGCATCCATCTCTCCGCCTTCCCATTAGAAGATTCTTTATGCATTCTGGAAAGAGTCAGCTTCATTCTTTATAGGACTTCAGAAAAAGCAACTCCACAAAATGCCTTAGTTATGCACCAGTCTCATAAATGCAACTTCATAAACTAGAAATGAGATTTTAACTTCCAAATCCCAAACAATATTGAATATGAATTTTTAAAATCCTTTTCTAAAATCTGTTTCAATAGGTAAGCAGATCCACAAAGGTCACATAAAAGTTACTCTACATAGAAATGTGGTCTCAAGTTTACTTCACACCTAGATTACAAATTCAGAAAAATGTACTTTCAATTTTACAGAGCCACAACTTTTCCAAAGAAAGAAGTAGCTTAAAATGAAGTATGATGTAGCACCAGAAAGTATCTGTAAATGACACCGGATAAACCCATACAGAATTTCTGGAACCTGAGTTATCATCTGTAAATAGATGCAACTACTCTACAACCACCTGGCTATTAAAATGTCCCAGGCCAGCTATAAAATGTAGTTTGGTCAGGCCAGCTTTTCCCTCCCAGCTGATCTGAAACATGATAGCCTTTAAAATTGCTGCCATGTAAAGTTCCTTCTCTACCTTTCTGCTTTCCTTTACCCCATTAAAATCAACCAAAGAAATTATTTTAAACTAGAAGTAAATAATTTGCTCCCAAATAAGCAACGGGTCAGGATATCTCAGTAACAGGTCTTCGAACACTACCATTCTTACAAGTTTGATGCACTTGTCCAACTGAAGATAGGTGGGAGATGGGTGAAAATTTATCCCATGTCCAAAATAGCATTTCAGACTGTTCTTAGCGACTGAGGATACTGAAAGGTCTAACTGAGGAGGCTTCACAAAAGCTGGCCTGAGAAAGAACTTTTCACAAAGCCTAGCTCAAGGAGACTTAAATGCCTTTAGCCCTTCATCATTGAAGATTATGGTGGCTAATTATCTTCCTCACTGAATGAGAGAAGATTATATTCTTGAATTTTAAACTGCCTGCCAACATCTACTATTCAGGGCCAGGAAGAGAACTGAACACCTGAGGTTGTCCAAAAATTCTTGCTACAAGAAATACTGTAAATTGAAAATACTCTTTCTCTCAAACTTTCGCTTTCCTCTCACTAGTTTGTACACACTATCCTTTTGCAAATGATTAGTATAATATTATTAGTGGCAATTTACCAGGGATTACTCACAGTCTATAAAGACTGTCATTTTCCCTCCCATGTTTCCTTCTCTTCCTTTTTATTTATCCATAAGACCCATCTTACTGTTGAAGCAGCAATTTACAGGGGCACAACCTTGGATCCGCTAAACACCTGCCTGATCCACCAAAATACTTGTGCCTTGGATCTTATAAAGTAACTGAAGGCACCCCCTCCTCACTACCACCACCATCACACAAACAAAGAGTCCTGATATGTTGTAGATTACTCCCAGATTTTAAAATTTGAAGAATTCATACATGGCCCCGGGGTCGGGGGAGGGTGAGCCTCCTAAGCACTTAGGAGAAAGCCATCTAGTTATCTAAGATAAGCAGGAGCATTTGGTGATTGGCTAAAGGTAAAACTCAGCTTGCCTCAGGTCTTTAGTTTCTCACATGACTAATTACCTAGACCTAGAGACCTGCAGGAGACCCCAGGAGTCAAAGAAGGTAAAAGTGCCACCAAGTAGTGGTACCCTCTAGCATCTCCTCGCTGAAGTAGGACAAGAGGGGCGCACACTCTTTAATTAATTTAACCGGCTACACATCCCAGAAAACTCATGGCCAGCTGCAGAAAGTGGAACACACGGTCATCCCCACACACATCTAGATCGGCTCACACCGAAGGCACGACCAAGTTCATGCCACCATAGATTCCTGCCCAAGTTCCCCACGAAAAGTAACCACGCGTCTCCTACCCCTGAAGGCAACGAAGACAAGGTGACGACTCTGCTTGCTCAAGTGGCTTTGGTCCCGGACCAGCGGCCAGGGATGGGTAGGGGGAAGCCCCAATTCCCGGCAGCTCCCCTCCTCTCCGCTCCGTCCGGGCTCTTCTTGGTGGCAGTGGACAGACAGGATACTGGGCCAGAGGGTGGAGCAGTGGACGGTGGGAGGCTAGACAGACTGGAGGTAGTGGTAGTGTGGGGGAGGCGGGAGAACTAAGGGAAGACGAGGCCAAAGGAAAGAGAGCAGAGATGGAGGAGTAATTCAGGGGTCTACCAGTTTAGGCAGCCTGAAAGCTCCTCGGAAGGAAGGGGCGTGACTGCGATGAAGGCAGCTCTGGGGCAAAGGATGGGAGGTAGAGGGGGAGGAATGGGTGGCTTTTCTTCTGGCAACCAGCGGCTAGGACCGCCCAGGAGAGGGAGGGGGAGTGGACTCTGAGGGAGGAGGAGCGGAGGGCGGGGAAAGAAGGGCGGGGAAAGAAGGGCGGGAGCCCGCCCGGACTCGGGGTGGGGGGCGAGGGTAAGGGTGAGGGTGAGGGTAGGTGGACACGGAAGAGTAGCAGGGCCTCGGGACGGGGAATTTTCAAACAGTTGAATGGCGGGGTCCAGGAGCTCGGCAAAGGTGGGAGATCCTCGCTGCTGACTTGCTTAGGGTAGCCCGGGGAGTCTACCCAGGGACTGTTCTGGAGGAAGGAAAGTGTTCTGCAGACTACAATAATAACCTATGGCAACAGCACAGCAGAGCCGCGTGGGAGAGCCATTGCAGCTCCCCGCCCCGCAGCGGGAGGAAGAAAAACAAATAATAGAAATGCTGAAAAGCAGCTTCTACCAAAGCCTTGTTAAAATAATTCAGGAAGGAGCAGCGCTCCTCCGTTTTCCTTCCCCTCCAGCTTCCTATTACCAGCAGGCCCCCACCCAGGTCACAGCTCTGGGGAGACACCCTCCGTTTTTTCCTTTGCTCCCTGTGACCTCCCCTTCTTCCCTCTTCTCCCTCCTCCTTCCCCGCCTTCTTCAGGCCCCGGCGCCGGGAGGCTGGAGAAGACGTGGGAGGGGCTTTGAGGAGGCCCCGCCTCTTGGGAGGACTGGGAGCGCCAGGCCTAGGAGGAGGGGACCTTGAAGTGTGAATTCCACCCACCCACCATTCTTTTACAGCTACTCCTTGGCCAGTCCTGGCTAAATTTCGCTTGTGATTGGTCCCTTGACCCGCCAATCTGATCCTTTTTTCCCACCCACTCTCAAAATTAATAAAGCTAAACAAGAGGCTATTGTCTACGCCTCTCTGTTCTCCCCCAGGTACTGCTGGGAATAGAAAGATGAGACGCTTCACTTCTCAGTCTTATAAAAGACTGTGACAGTGTGTCGGCTGACTCTAGTACACCTTCATATTTATTGCACTGTCCAGCCTTCTGGGAATAGGTAATTTTTCCCTCTTAATTCATTAAACCAGGAGAAAAAAGTACATGAAGTGTCAATGTAGTACTCACATTTCTTGGCTGAGAAAAATGATATTGGTTAAGAGTCTAGAAGGTTAAATACAACAGCATCCTGGAACACAGAAAATCTACCATTTTACATTTGGGAAAATGACAGCACAAAGAAACAGTGTAGGGGTAGCAAAATAACATGGAATTTGGAACCAAAGGAAGAATTCGTTGTGGGCTCTGGCACTTATTAGCTAGTTGTGTGACTTTTAAGTGGCTTAACTTTTGAGTCTTAATTTTCCTATCTGTAAATAATGCTATAAGACATGCCCTATTAACTTAATGGCACTGGTGTGAAAATAAAATGAAATGTATGTGAGACTCTAAACCACAAAGCACTCCACACATGTATGTGTTTCTGCTTGTCTATGGCACATGGTGGACAGTCTCACATGTGTTTGAGAATTAAATAGTCTGCTCATCTGTTTTAAGCAATTATATCCAAGGTTGTGTAGCTTTTGTGGCTTTATTTTAAAAAGTCAACTCTTCTTACAATTTTGGGAGTGAATGTTCAGTTGGCTCCCTGCAGTTAGAATAATAAATTACCCCTCTTCTAATCAGGGTGGATGAGATTTCTTTTTTAAACAGTTCTGCAGTTGTGCCTTGACCTAAATCTGTTGTGGTGCCAGTACTCAAAGAGGAAATCATGCTGTGTATCTCTGATTTGAACTTGAGAAAACAAATATGAGGAAACATTTACCATGGAAACCACCATTCTCTACAGATCCATATTTCCTAGAAAACATTTCAAGTAGGAAACAAGTCTAAATGTAGAGGCCTTGACAACTCAAAGCTATTATAATAAACTCACACCAATGACAGACTGACACCCAATTCAAGCCTGTCTATTGGGAGCCTTCTGAGAGGCCATGGATCAAGGCACGCAAAAGGAAGTGTACTCAAAGGCAACACAATCTCATAGTGAGCAAGGTCTCAGAATATCCCTCTGGATGCAGAAAAAGTACTGGGCAGATGGCGCACAGTAGAATGCACTCTGCTAGGGGTTGCTGATTCAGAAGCAGGACCATAAGCAAAATGAATTCTAGGTATAATTCTGTTTATGTGTGAAGTGAGGTAACCTGGGTGATTTTTTCATGAGCATGGTGAGTCTTTGAGTATTTGAGACCTGGAGACACCTGGTTGGTGAGGAGAGATTATTCCAGTCTTGTGGAGGTGAAGGCAGGAGAGCTAGATTGCGTGGCTCTAGAGAGTTATTATTGATCATAATGGCAACAGGATACTTGCTAAACTTGACAATGTCGTTAAAATGGAAAGAGAAAATATCCACATGGTAAAATTAAAGTAAAACAGTACTGAGAGGGTATGTGGTGTCAAGTTCCTCTCCACCACCCTGATTTCCTTCCTGTCCCTTACATATGGGATCAGCACTCACTGTAGACCTTATATTTCTTTAATCTTCAATGTGTATTAAATATATTTCTGTCTCAGGATAACTACCTGTGGTGGATTAACTAATGGTCAACTTGTAATGCCCAGCTGAACTGAATCAGTGTGATCTGGGCATGGAAGATCCACCTGAGGATTGTTGCCAATAGCCATAAAGAGAACTGGAGGGGAAGACTGTGGGCTGTTGATTTTCTACAAGTTTGCTGTAGATGGTTTTTCCTGATGCAAACTTGGCTGTTCTAGGTTGAGTAGGAGCTCAGGGCCTGGCTATCTCTGGGAATGGCTGCTGTTCTCCTCAGGGGAGCTTTGATCTTCACCATGAGCATCACTTCCTGGCTCTAATGTGGATCCCTCAGCCTGGTGGCACAAATCCTTCATACCACAGATGTAGGTACTGGCTCCCACCATCTGGGTGCAGATCCTCAATACGGACAAGAATGAGACATTGCCATGGGCTCTATGCCACTGGCTGGACTCGTGGAGAACATTGCCTTGGACTCTAAGCCTTTAGCTGGACTTGTGTGGGACATTGCTGTGGAATCCAGGCCCTTGGTGTGGCTAGTGTGTGGCTAATCTCTTACACTCCTCTGTATTTGACTTTTTGGGTAAATATCATAAAATAATCCTATAAATTATGTGTCCTGTATTAAATGTATGCCCTTGCCAAAACCCTGACTACAACACTACCTTTAATATGATAGCTGAGTATCTCATTACAAAGGTGTGCAAAAATTACTTTACTCATTCCCCTATTAAGAGGAGATTTAGGCCATTGTCCATCTTGTGCCTCTGCAGAAGATACTAGAAAAAGAAAATCATGGTAGTAAAGGCCTAGTGGCTTTGTAATATGTGTGCCCCCACCCTGAAGTTGCCCTCTCAAAGACTTTTCCAGCATGTCTTCCCACAGCTACTGAAAACCCCTAAAGCACAGCTCTTTCAATACCCCTTCTCAAACACTGCTTTGGGCATGACTATTTTTCAAATTTTAATTTTGATGGAGTAGTTAGGAGAGCGCTGAATTTAAGGGTGAATGAGGTCATGTGTGAGTTACTTCTTAGCCTGTAGTAAACAAGTTTCCTGGTACCTCAGCTTTACCAAGTTCTTCTAAGCTTCTTAGGTATTCCTTTTCTCTTGGCATGCAAGAGTTCCTCCATGTTTTTACACTGAAAATCTTTCAGTTTGTTTAAACTGAGTTTGCATTTAAAGCTATGCGTTGACTGCTCTACTTAAAAGGGAGGGGGAAGGGGAGGCCAAAATCAACAAACATCTATTGAACTGCTATTATAGGCAGGACTGAAAAAACAAAGAAGTCTGAGACTTGGCACCTGCCTTCCAGGACATATACTTAAAGGGCCAACTAACAAGCATATGCTAAGTGCTAAATGAATGGTATTGACAATAAAAGCTGTGGAAGTTAAGAGAAAGGAGTGAAAACTGTTCCAGAGAGTGAGTTTATACAGTAAACTATGCCACACACATTTAACTAATCCCCACAGCATCCCCATGTCTTCATATCCTGACTATAAAATATGGAAAGCCCTCTGGGGATACCAGAATTAACCACTCGCAGTAAAACACCTGTGTGGACACTGGGCTGCCTTAGTACTGCATATTTAAAACTTTCATGTAGTGATATGGAAAAAAGGAGACTCATTTTAAGCTCAGAACTCAAGAATCTCCATCCCAAACTAACTGTGCTGTTAGATTTTTTTAAATGAACCCCCTGTTTTAAAGTGCAATAAAATTAATATCGCTGCTCCAAAAAATAAAGTCTATAAAAAATAGGCTGAGTACACTGTCAAATGCCTGTAATCCCAGCTCATCAGGAGGTTGAGACAGGAGAGTCATAAGTTTGAGGTCAGCCTATGCAACTTAGGAAGACCTTTTCTCAAAATAATAATAAAAGGAGTGGAGGATGTAGCTCAACACTCCCTGGATTCAATGCCCAGTACCAGTGTGTGTGTATGGCGGGGGGTGTGGGGGGGGTGATCTTGAAAACATGTAAAATGAAATCAACCAGATACACAAGGACAAATGTATGATTCAGCTTATATGAGGGACCTAGAATAGGCAAATTCAGAGACAGAAAGTAGGGTAGTAGTGATCAAGGGCTGAAAGAAGGGGATGGGAAGATAGTATTTAACAGGGACAGTTTCTGTTTGGGATGATGAAGTTTAAAAACAGAAAGTGGTGATGGTCCTCAAAGTCAATACCAGTGATAGGAACTCCCAAGAAAGAGAAGGCAGGACCCAAGACCCCACCACTTGGCAAGGCAGCCCCATGTAGCCACAACTTAACATTTTGCAATAGAACACAGAAATCAAATGTATTTTGATGTAAATGTAAAAAATCTCCTAGTTTTTTTTCCTAGTTTTTAATTTTGGCAACTATTGCCTTAGTCTGTCCTTTGTGTCCAAAATTTTTGCCCAACTTACAGAGAAGTAGGAAGGAGAATGTGGTTTCTGTCTATCTCCCAGTTCCTGGCTAGATTCTTCATGAAGGAAAGACCATAAAACCATAA